ATGTTGGCCTTTGCGAAGGCAACAGAATCAACACTCAGTGGCTACAAACAGTCAATGTCGTTAAAATTCTGGGTGTTGTTTTCGCAACTTCAATACGACTGATGACAACGATGAACTGGAATGCGCTAGTGCGGAAGTTCGCGCAACAAATGTGGCTGCCTTCTCTGCGCACGCTGACGCTGCACCAAAGAGTCATCCCGACCTTAGACAAATCCTATCCTAGCAAACTGAGGTAGAACCAAGGGTGGAACGTAAGAGTCCAGCAAGTGACATTGCATCAAGGCAACTTACTTCAGCGCAGAGGACGAAGCAGTACTTGTTGGTGAACGAGAAGATAGAGCACCGCAAACTGCTATTCGTGATGCGGCGAGTAGATGACGAAAACCGTAGCGCAGAAATTCTCTCCCACAAATTTTGCGCTTGTGCTCGCGTCGGCCCGGCTTGGACGGTTCTTCAGCAGAGAATAGCAGTCATCTTGGGTGGATGAAGGCGACTCGAGTTCGAAGATTTGCTAAGACCTGCCCTATTAGGAATAAACGGCAGACAGAGAGTGGCAATTCCGAATATGTTTATTACATACATATATCTGCTTCGTTAACGATTGTAGCGGTAGAATTGATATAGCTAATTTGAACTTTCAACTTGATGTAGCAAATTGATGGTAAAACAAAAAAAACTTTGTATGATAAACTGACAAATATAACTTCACTTTTACAAAAAAAATAAAAAAAAATAAAATAAAGGAAATACAATCCAGAAGAGAAATCATAGAACATTCTTATGACGAAACTTAAGAAGTATGCTGATACGAATCGTGAGATTAATTTCAATGGAATTCTGTCTAATGCAAATGGCAAATTCTGGGAGTCTTTCAAAACCATTGTGGCAAAGTACTTGAGTACTTAGGTAATATTGAAAAGAATTTCAAAACAATTCTTACCTTAACTACAAAGCAGTTTAAAGGGAATTATTGGATAAGTCTGAGGAGAGTGCGACGGTGATTCTGAAGAGCGTACCAAGAAAATTGTTAAGAATATTTTAAGAATTTCATAGAGAAAAATGGACACAAAATTTAGCCAATTCTTGGGAATTATTACCAATTTGAGGGAGTTGTGGGATTGGAGAGTGATTTATAAGAGATTACTAGACGTCATGCTAAGACCTATTAGAATGTCACTGGAAAAGTTTAGATATTTTCAAGATTATTTTAGGGGAATATTGAAAAGAAATATGATGAAATTCTAGGATGATTCGAATTGAACTAAAAAAAAGGGCGAAGATATCCTGTAAAGAGTTCCAAGTAAATTCAGACTAACACAAAAAATCATGATCTGGGACGCAGGAAAATATAAACTCGGGAATTTAGAATCATTGCAAGATCCTGAGACTTCAAAAATGAAGCTATCAGACTTTCATTTTAGTAATATAATAAAATTATTCTTTGGCATAATGGTCATGCGGATAGTGAAGTTACCCGTAGCTTAGGTAAACTGTGTGCGAGTTCCACGATGTTAGGCTTTGAATCCATCCCATCAAATTTCCTTGATTCTTTTTTTTTTTTTCCTTCGGTTTGTTTTTTCCGTCGATCTTGTTTTCCGTGCTGAGCACCAATGCTACCGACGTGCCAGGAAGGCAGCTCCCACACCTGGACCCTACCTATCGACCCATCAACTCATGAACCGGGGACCAACGGCTTTACTTCCCATCCGAAGGAAGGCGTGATCAGAGATGTTATGCCTCAGAACATCCCGGTGGCGCCGACTGGGATTGAACCCAGGCCTGCTGGGGTGAGAGGTAATCACGCTTACCACTACACCACCGGCGCCGTTGCTCCTTGATTCTTTGTTTCTCATTCTTTTTTTTTTTAAGTTACAGTTTAAAAAACAATTCTAGCCACATATAACTCATTTTTTGAAATGCTGCATAATGGATATTTGATGGATTTTTGGGCACACCGTGTCAGTACTTTTCAACTTTTGGATGATTTTAGCAATGCTAACAAGTTATTTGCTTTATTTAATTTATTTAAACATGTTATTTATAACCACTCTAGTGCTTTAAATAAATTCCAGATGATCATACTGACCTATTTTTCCGGGAGATTGGCACATCACTTTGATTTCAATAGCATTATGTTGAAAAGAGGATTTTTTGAAGCATTCCAGATTTTTCCAGATTTTTTTATTTAACCTGCTCCAAATTTGTCTGAAAATGACCTGGCAACGCTGTTCACCAGTTGCTTTTTACTTCTTTCGTCAACTTGATGGATGGTCATGGAGAGAGCTTTGGCGAGCACATTGATAGGAATGTACAAAGCGTTACTACCATCAGCTGTTTGATGATCGTGATTGTGATAGGTTGCAACTCATTTTTTGAATTAATTAACTCCGCCAGGGAAGGAAAGGTCGCGATAATGACCTCTATGTTTTCAATCGAAACTTTTTCCCAGAATCAGCAGGCAAAATCATGATGAAATCCAAAATAATATTGAGAAAAAGAGGCTGTAAAGTGTCGTTAACTCTTCTAGTGCCAAACTTAAAATGATTTCGACAATACTTTCAAAATGATGTTTTTATTATTAATTACTTTATTTGTACAGGCCCAATCGAATAAACTTTACAGAGCCGTCTCAAAATGATGTAACACGGAATCTATTTATCCGATATATTATTTTCGTTCATATAACCATAAACTCTATCTATTGGCAAAGTTCCAGCTGATATCTGGGAACTTTCTCTTGTAAGATAAAACAAAATTTTCAAGTGATTTCATGGTAAATGGCGACTCCAGAAATACTTTAACTTTTATCGTCAAGGGGGAGTTGTAATCTTAATTAGTGCTAAATTTTTTGCCAATCTGCTCTGAAAAATGATGGATCCTCATGAAAAATATGAGTGCTCAAGGACTTAATTTATTTGAGGTATTACCGAAGCCGAAATATACTCTATCATTTTCTGGAGTAAAACCTTATTATTACATAACTGGAAAATATTTTTGAAAGTTTTAGCCGTATGACGTTTTCTGGTCACTCGGAAGTAGCATAGATATGGTGATGGCATATTTCCTCTGAGCTCATGATTGTACAATTTAAGAAAAAAAAAATCGTGAAACTTCAGGGCCACTTTTAGGAATTGATGAATCCGGATATCCAAAAGGGCACTTTATGGCCATCCGGCAGCAACATCGATATAAAAATGGAATATTTCCTCTATGCTCATAATTGTATGAAATTTTGAAAAAAAAAATCGCGGATCTCTAGGTCTACTTTCAGGAATTGACATTTTTTCTGGTGTTTCCGGATATCCAGAGGACCGTTTTCTGGCTACCCGATAGCAGAATCGATGTAGGATGGCATGTTTCCTCTATGTTCATGATTGTATGCAATTAAAAAAAAATCGTGGATCTCTAGCCTTCTTTTAATCAATGACTTTTTCTTGGTGATTCCGGATATCCAGCGGACCGTATTCTGGCCACCCAGTAGTATAATCGATATGATGACGACATATTCCTTCTATGCTCATAATTGTAAGCAAATCTAAAAAAAAAAAAAAAAACACGGATCTCTTGGTCTACTTTGAAGAATTAACTATTTTCCCGGCGACTTTGGATATCCAGAGGACCGTTCTTTGGCCACTTGGTTGCAGAATCGATATGGTGAAGGTATATTTCCTCTATGCTCATGATTGTATGAAATTTATAAAAAAATTGCAGATCTCTAGGTCTACTTTCTGGAATTGACCATTTTCCCGGTGATTCCGGATATCCAGAATGGCGTTCAATAACCACTGCGGGACCAAATCAATATGGCACTGAGATATATCTCCTCAACTAAGGGTTCATCATATTTTCTAAACAATCACGGATCTCTAGGTCTACTTTTAAGAATTGACTATTTCCCCGGTGATTCCGGGTATCCAGAGGACCGTATTCTGGCCACCTGGTAGAATCTATATTTTGATGTTTTATTCTTCTATGCTAATAAGTTAGAAAAACTCGTGGATCTCTAGGTCTACTTTCTTGAATGGACTATTTTCCCGGTAGTTCCGGATATCCAGAGGACCGTTTTCTGGCCACCTGTTTGCAGAATCGATATGGTGATGGTATATTTCCTCTATGCTCATGATGGTATGTAATTTAGACAAAAAACGGGCAGATCTAAGACTACTTTTAACAATTGACCATTTTCCCGGTGAATCCGAATTTCCACAGAGCCACCTTTCACAGGTTTTATCGTTCCGATTGCCCACCCACAACTCCAGTCGGTTCCTTGTCTGTTCCGGTTGAAAGTAGATAGTCATACCTTTCAAGTAGTGGCTCAATCTTAAGATGTGGTAAGCAAATTGTCGAAAACCAGTTATGTCAACATGAATCGACACGCATTTTGCTCGGGACTTTTCCGGATTTTTCCGTTCCGGCTGGCCAACCACAGTTCCAATTGAATGTCTACCTATTGCAAGCATGTATGATGAATAATGTGAATCATAACGATGGGTCATTGCATTGCTGAGAACTCGCATTTTGCAGCCTTAGAGGTTATGTCAGTTAATGCTTCTCAGAATCACCATGGAGTTCAAAATAAAACTAGCTTGGAAATCTCCCAGAACTACTTACTTCTTCTTACTTACTTCTCCGGAATTCCTTAGGAATATTCACTAGAAGTCGTTTTAAATTCTTCACAATTTTTTTTTAGAAATACTCATCAGAGTTTTCATGAAGTTTTCGTGCCCTAATCAAGTACTGGGAAATTTCAGGCAGGGTCCATTTTCGGCCTATTAAGCACAACCCACACTTTCTTAATCTATTGTATTTTAGCACCAAACGGAAAATGATGGCTTCCAAATTTATTTACCTAGATTTAATAAAAAGAAACAAATTGTTGAGGTATTGTTGAATGTCTGACACTGTTTCTTGACGCCAAACCCGGCTTATGGATTCTAAACGCATTGAAACGCAATTGAAACGCAAATGAAGTTAATTCGGCCTATCGGATGAAGATAAAGATTGATTCGGTCGGAGCGAGTCATTTGACAATTTGAGAATATTGGGTGCAAACATTCATATTACGCGTTCTTATTGACTTCGTTCGGTAGCATTTGAGCTAAAGTATCGTACCAAATGCATAATTTACCTGTTAAAGCCGAAATCATGGATTTATTTGATGTTTTCTGCATGATAGGCCCAAAATGGGCGCTTAGGCCAAAGTAGTTCTCTACCCTACCAAAGAGGATTGTTTTTGTTAAGAATTGCCCAGTCGCCAATCCTTTCCAAATCCGGGATCTCGGAAGTTTTTCATAACCCGACACCTTGAGCATTGTTCGTAGTCTTAGTTTCTCAAGTACTGAATTGCCATCTTTGCTTGCTAAACTTAGGTAGCAGGACAAGCCAGTTTTATTAGTTCAATAAACTAGGGAATTATTAACTTAATTTTAAAGACATTAAATTTCTTGATGAATATGGATAAACCTGTCTATTTCGTTTAAAACTTCTGTCATTGATGTATAGAAGTTTCCCAATGATTTTCGGCAAATTTCTGCAATGTTTTGCGCAATAGTTCAAAACCCATGCATTCCTCATAACACTGAAGTGCGACTAAGATCAGGACTTCGGATGGCCACAGGTTTTTCTTTCTAAGCAATCGGAGCAGACATTCAAGTATAACCAATCCTAGAAAACCATGATTTATTCAAAAGTGGTCGGAGCTGTTGAAAAGGATGGCCGCATGTTAATCCCCCAGGTCAAAACTTTCAAAATTGACCAATTCACTGAACCTATCTTAGAACACCAAGATTGCATTACAAATTGATAAGATTTTTCTGAGCTTTGGTAATTTTGTAGTATGGATTGAATCTGAATCTGAATGCTTTGAAAAACAGTATGAATTAAGTTGTCGGACCAGCAACGAAGAGGTTCAAATTTTAGCAGGGAATACCGAAAATCGTTGACTCCGGAGCAGACCTCCACGAGCTGACTATTTTTTTTTAATTTTTGAAAAACATTAGGATGTTTAATGTCCATAGCGATTGAGACTGATTGGATCGTGAGTGAATTCATTGGCAAAAGAATTTCCGTTTATCGTAGAACCACTGGCGGGCAGGTGCTGTTCAATCGGATCATTCATGGTATATTCTGATGGCTGATGATAGTCGCTTTTTAAGTACTGCACTTTTATGACACCTAACAAACTTCAAATGAGAAAACTAAATAGAGAAAATATCAAAACAATTCTGAAACATTTCATTCCTTCTAAAATAAACTATTGGCCGCTTTTCCAACCAGTTCACCCCCTACACTCCAAACCGGTCTAATGTAAGGGCGCTGACGCAATCGACGGTAGGTGGGAAGGCTCTTCATGCTTTCACATCAATACTGGAAAGTACACCAGCAGTGGTGTGGTTCGTATAAAATTTGCGAGTTTGTTTCATCTTCCAGCTAACTAGTCTTCCTATACAAAAAGATAACCAAATAGAAGAAAGAAATATTCTCTTTCTTGTCCTTTCCTTCTGGGTGGGATTCGAGTTCTTAAAGTAAGGAAACCACTCCGAAATGAAAAAAATAAATTCCGGAGTCTGACGAGTGCCTTCTTCTTCTTCTTCTGTTTCTTCTTCCCGGCCAGTTATTGGTGTTTGAATGTATTTAGCTGGTCTCGACGGTGCCACCCCGAGTGTCAGTGCAGAACGGGGTGGCATTGGGAGAAACGCCATACACAAAAGCGCTTCGGTGGTGATGGTGGTGGGTTTCCGAAGGGAGCACGCCTTCTAAGGGGGTTATCGCATATAGCCTCCTCGGTAACCGCCACCCAGCTGTGCACCGCTGACCGCACGTTCCGTCGCTTTTTCGATGCTCCGGGAAACGCAGCGGTAGCAGCACACGTACGCCAAACATCACTTGAACAGTATCCGGCGAAAGGCTCTCCGGAAGTCCTTGTTAAAGATGGTGTAAATGGCCGGGTTCAATGCCGAGTTCATGTAACCCAGCCAGAAGGCCAACGAGAATGCAAAGTCCGGTATGCGGCAGTCTTTACAAATTGGCACCAGTATGTAAAGGAAGAAGAATGGCAACCAGCAAGCAATAAAACTTCCCATAATCAATCCCAGGATCAGCGTGGCTCGCTTTTCCTTCTTCCTCGCTATCCGTCGTTTCTCCTTCTCCGGATCCCTGGGTTTTGGCTTTGGCAGTGCTGGTTCCATTTCACTGCAAGCACTATCATTCTGCTTGGCCGAAATCGATATGGCTTGCCCTCCCATCGCCGTTGGTCCCACCCCCGCACAATTGCCTCTCGCATTATTATTCTTATTACGACCCTTTCCTACCTTCTTGCCGAAAATTGGTTGACACAGCCTAAACTTGAGCGGTTTCACTACCGCGCATCTACTAATTACACCCGAATCTGAACTCGAAGGATCAAATTCACTCACCATGTCCGTTTCTATTCCTACCGAAAGTGCTCTATTCCTAGCTAACCCTGGACTAACCACCACCCCGGAACTACTGCTACCCCCGCGGCCCGCAGCTGCCCCGTTGTTCCCTCTCAGCAATGGCAGTGACGTGAGACCTATCCCCGGTTTACCCACTTGAAGCGTATCTTTCATCTCCAACACGGCCGCAGCGTGGTCGTGATCTGCCGCCTCGCTGGTGGACATGTCCGACGCAAAGTCACACGTTACCGTCGGAATGGCCATCTGCGCTTGACCACTACTACCGCCGACTAGCCCCCTCGGTGGGGGCTCTATCGTCGCAATCTGCTGCTGGTGCTGCTGACTGGGACCGCTACTATGATTGTTATTGTTGTTGCTATTGGCCGCCGCGTACTGGCTGTTGCCGTTGGTTGATGCCGGTGCCACTGCACCAGCTGACACCGACGAGGCACTGGGAAGCGATGGCATCGGATTGGCTGGACGCGTAAAGCTGGTGTCCTGGTGGGAGAGGAACGAGATGATTTAATAAGTATTTGTGAGATTCGGTTACTTTCCAAGCTTCAAACTAAATAAAAAGTTCCCAAATAGAAAAATTGTAGGATTCCATTAAAAGCTTTTCATGCTTCAGTGAGAAGCTTTTCAAGTTTCAATGAGAATCTGTGACAAGCTTTTGAAAATTTTGTGAGAAGCTTTGCAAAGATTTTTAGACAAGCTTTTCAAACTTCTATGAGAAGCTTGTTCAAGCTTCTGTTAGAGAACTGTCGACCTCCTTTGAGACGCTTTTCTAGGTTTTGTAAGATGCTTTTCCAGTTTTTATCAGCAGCTTTTCAAGTTTCTGATAATGGCTGTTTAAAGCTCTGAGGAAAGTATTTCAATATTCTAGAAATTACTTTCCAAGCTTCTGTGAGAAGCATTTCTAGCATCTGTAAGAAGCATTTTAAGCTTCTGTGATAAGCTTTTCAAGCTTCTGTGATAAGCTTTTCAAGCTTCTGTAAGAAATATTTCAAGCTTCTGTGAGAAGCTTTTCAAGCTACTGTGAGAAGATTTTAAAGCTCCTGTGAGAAGCTTCTTAGGCTTTTGTGAGAATCTTTCCAAGCTTCTGTAAGAAAATGTTCAAGCTTCACTGAGAAGCTTATGTGACAATCTTTTCAAGCTTTTGGGATAAAGTTTTCAAGCTTCTGTGACAAGCTTTTCAAGCCTATATGAGAAGGTTTTCAAGTTTCTCTGCATAGCTTTTCAAGCTTCTGTGAGAAGCCTTTCAAGCTGCTGTAAGAAGCTTACCAAGCTTCTGTGTGCAGCTTTTGAAGCTTCTGTGAGAAGCTTTTCAAGCTTCTGTGAGAAGCTTTTCACGCTTCTGTGAGAAGCATTTCAAGCTTCTGTGAGAAGCATTTCAAACTTCTGTGAGAAGTTTTTCTGTTTCTGTGGGATGCTTTATAAGATTTTTTTTCTGAGAGGAGCTTCCCAAGCTTCTGTGAGAAACTTTTCGGGCTTCTGTAAGAAGCATTCCATGCTTCTATGAAAAGCATTTCAAGTTTTGTGAGAAGCTGTTCAAGCTTCTGTGAGAAGCTTTTCAAGCTTCTGTGAGAAGCTTTTCAAGCTTCTGTGAGAAGCTTTTCAAGCTTATGTGAGAAGCTTTTCAAGCTTCTGTGAGAAGCTTTTCAAGCTTCTGTGAGAAGCTTTTCAAGCTTCTGTGAGAAGCTTTTCAAGCTTCTGTGAGAAGCTTTTCAAGCTTCTGTGAGAAGCTTTTCAAGCTTCTGTGAGAAGCTTTTCAAGCTTCTGTGAGAAGCTTTTCAAGCTTCTGTGAGAAGCTTTTCAAGCTTCTTTGAGTTTTTCAAGCTTCTGTGAAATACTTTTCAAGCTTCTGTGAGAAGCTTTTCAAGGCTCTGGCAGAAGCTTATCAAGCTTCTGTGAGAAGCTTTTCAAGCATATTTTTTCTGTGAGAAGCATTTCAAGCTTCTGTGAGAAGCTTTTCAAGTTTCTTTGAGAAGCTTGTCAAGCTTCTGTAAGAAACTTTTCATGCTTCTGTGAGAAGCATTTAAAGCTTCTGTGAGAAGCATTTCAATCGTCTGTGAGAAGCTTTTAAATTTTCTATGTGAAACTTTTGAAGCTTTTGTGAGAAGCTTTCCACGCTTCTGTGAGTAGCTTTTCAAACATCTGCCAGAAGTTTTTCTGTTTCTGTAGAATGCTTTACAAGCGTATTTTTTTCTATGAGACGTTCTGTGACGTTCGAGCTTCTGTGAGTAGCTTTTGAAACTTCTGAGAGAAGCTTACCAAGCTTCTGGAAGAAGCTTATTATGCTTTTATGAGACAATTTTCAAGCTTCTGTGTGAAGCTTTTCAAGCTTCTGTGAGATGCTTTCCAAGCTTCTACGAGAAGCATTTCTAACTTCTGTGAGAAGCATTTCAAGCTTCTGCGAGAAGCGTTTCAAGCTTCTTTGACAAAAATTTTTAGCTTCTGGGAGAAGCATTTCAAGCTTCTGTGAGAAGCATTTCAAGCTTCTGTGAGAAGCATTTCAAGTTTCTGCGAGAAGCTTTTCATACTTTTGTGAAAAGTTTTCAAGCTTTTGTGAGAAGCGTTTCAATCGTCTGTGAGAAGTTTTTAAATCTTTTGTGCTTCTGTGAGAAGCATTTCAAGTATCTGTGAGAAGCATTTCAAGCTTCTGTGAGAAACTTTTCAAGCTGCTATGAGAAGTTTTGCAATCTTCTGTAAGAAACTCTTCAAGCTTGGGTGATAAGCTTTTTACGCGTCTGTAAGAAGCTTTTCACGCGTATGTGAGAAGCTGTTCAAGTTTCCGTGAGAAGCTTTACAAGGTTCTGTGATAAGCTTTTCATGCTTTTGATTGAAGCTTTTGAAGCTTTTGAAGCTTGTCAAGCCTTTGTGAGATGCTTTTCCACTTTTTGTTAGACGCTTTTACAGTTTTTATCAGCAGCTTTTCAAGCTTCAGATAATGACTGTTTAAGGCTCTGAGCGAAGCATTTCAATATTCTACTTTCCAAGCTCCATGGAGAATTTTTTTTGAAATTTGAAGCGAAGATTTTCAAGCTTCTGTGAGCAGCGTTTCTAGCATCTGTGAGAAATATTTCAAGCTTCTATGAGAAGCTTTATAAGCTTCTATGATAAGCTTCTCAAGCTTATGTGAGAGGCTTTTAAATCTTCTGTTAGAAGTTTTTCAAGCTTTTGTGAGAAGCTTTTTATGCTTTGTGAGAAGCTTTTTGAGCTTCTGTGAGAAGCTTTTAAAGCGTCCATGAGAAGCTTTTAAAGCGTCCATTAGAAGCTTTTCAAACGTCCATGAGAAGCTTTTCAAGCATCTTAGGGGAGCTTTTCAAGCTTCTATGGTAAGTTTTTCAAGCTTGTGTGTGAAAATTTTCAAGCTTCTGTGTGAAAATTTTCAAGCTTCTGTGCGAAGCTATTCAAGCTTCTGTGAGAAGCTTTTCAAGCTTCTGTGAGAAGCGTTTCAAGCTTCTGTGAGAAGCGTTTCAAGCTTTTGTGAGAAGCTTTTCAAGCTTCTGTGAGAAACTTTTCAAGCTTCTGTGAGAAGCTTCTCAAGCTTCTTGAGAAGCTGCTCAAGCTTCAGTGGAGAGCTTCTCAAGCTTCTGTGAGAAGCTTTTCAAGTTTCTGTGAGGAGCTTTTCAAGTTACTGTGAGAAGCTTTTCGAGCTTTTGTATAATGTTTTTCAAGCTTCTGTGAGAGGCTTTTCAAGCTTCTGTAGAAAGCTTTTCAACCTTCTGTGAGAAGTTTTTCAAGCTTCATAAAGAAGCATTTCAAACGTTGTGAGATGTATTTCAAACTTCTATAAGAAACATTTTATGCTTCTGTGAGAATCTTGTCAAGCTTCTGGGAGTAGCATTTCAAGCTTCTGTGCTAAGCATTTCAACCTTCTGTGAGAAACTTTTCAAACTTCTGTGAGAAGCTTTTCCTGTTCCTATGAGCTTCTGTTGCTTTTGTTAGAAGGTTTTCAGCTTTTTGGTAAGAAACTTTTTTGTTTCTTTTGGATGCTTTATGGGCATATTTATTCTGTGTGAGGCTGCTCAAGGATATTTGAGAAACTTTTCAAGCTTCCGTGTGATGCTTTTCAAGCCTCTGTAAAAAGGTTTGATGCTTCGATGGGGTGCTTTTTCATGTGTGTTAAAAGCTTTTCATATATATGTGAGAATATTTTCATGTTTCTGTGAGATACTCTTCGTATTTATTCCAGAAGCGTTTCCTGATTCAAAGAGAAGTTTTGCTAGCTTTTGATAGAAGCATTTTGATCTTTAATGAGAAGCTTTTCTGTTTCTGTGAGGTGCTTTTCTTGCTCATGTGAGAATCATTTTCAGAATTGGTGAGAAGCTTTTCTTTTTCTGTGGGAAGCTTTCTAGGAAGCATTCGTTACAATCTTCTGCGAGAAGCTTTTATAGCATCTGTGAGAAACATTTCAAGCTTCTGTGTGAACTTTTTTATGTTTCTGTGAAAATCTTTTCAATGTTCTATGAAAAAACATTAATGCTTCTGTGAAAAGTTCTGTTTACTTCCATGAGAAGCTCTTCTTTATTTTATGAGAAACGTTTTCTTTTTGTATGAGAAGCTGTCAGAGATAATTTGAGCTATTATAGCATCTGTGAGGTTCTAGATTCATGCGAGATTTTTTCAGGTATCTGTGAGAAGTTTTAAGAGCATATTTTATGTGCTCCATAAGCGTCTGTGAAAAGCTCTCCAAAGCTGTTTATTAAATCTATTTCAATATGCTTTCAACACCTTTCACCGAAAATCTCGACGACATGACGAAATACTCCAATCCCACCCACTAATTGAAACATTTCCCCCAATAAATAAATCTCGTCCAACATCCCTCGGTACATCCGTTTTGAATCGAACCCATTCCCGGGCACTCACCTGTTCACTGGGCGGTTTGAGCGGCTTTTTCCGGATCCCCCGCCGGGCTCGTGCTTTCGCCGCGTAGTAGATCCTAATGTAGACGAACACCATGATGCAGCTGGGAATGTAGAACGATCCGAGCGCCGAGTACAGCACGTAGCCGATGTCTTGACTCAGCTGGAAAAGGGGAAAGCAGAGATGGAGGGAGAGAACCGGTTAGAAAATCACTTCAAGCCAATTGAGTGCCCGGAGGCGGCGGGTGATGCAACGGTGATGGTCTGGGAAAACGAACGACCATTAGTTTGGGGCCAATTGAAACGAGCACGAAGCTTGGTACACATTTTCTAGCAGCAATCGTGCGACACTTAATTTTATTAATCTTTTGAGCATTTCCCGTTCGCCCCAGCTCGAGTGAGAGAGGAGCAATCTCAATGGTTCACATAAATTGAATTCGTGATAATTCGGTTGCGACGAAGCGTTCTGCTTCGAAAATTGTATTTTAACGATCTGGAATTATTTCGTATAATTCCTCCGGTTATTTTGTGATTGTTTACGAAAAGTATAGTGCTCTGCAGGATGGTTTCCATTAATTCTGCAGAAGTCAATCCAGCAGTTCGGTCAGGCGGACACCGAAAGGTTGGGTTCGCCCAGCGCTTTCTCGCTAATTGTCTTAATTTGCTAGAATTAATTTTCATTTTCTCCAATGTAATTTATTAGCCGGGCGATCGTAAACTAGCTCAGTCAAGGCAGGACGGCGCGATGGCTGCTGTTGTTGGCCATGAATCGCGAATCAGTTCAAGTACGAAACTTAGTCTACAGTGCGCTAGATAGCTCCGGAGGATCGGAGGCCAGCAGCGGGACTGGGAGTTTGGCGTAACAGCGAGCGCAACCAAGGGCAGGGTAAACTCTCTAATGTGATTAATGGCTGGACTCGTTTTCGTTTGGGAAGTGGGCCAAGGAGGGGTTTTCGGGAATATCGGAGCAAAAGTTTGTGATTTATAAATTTGCTGATAAATGTTTTACGCTGCGAGCTATTTTGCTTAGATGCAATTTTCGACTACCGTTTAGCGATTAACGCTGATTTAGTTGTTTAAATTTAGGATTTTGGATCGACACCAGAGCTGGACGTTGGCGGAATGTTGGGAAGCGAAAATTGGGCCAGTTGTGCATTGTGCGATATTGTATAAAATGGAAGTAGTTTGTTTGTTTTATTTTAGGTCGCACGTGACTTCTCTGAGCATTCGACTTGGTTGCTTCTTGCGCTGATGGTCAAGAGCTCATCCATGGACAAGTAACGAATAGCCTAAAAGAATTATGAACTTCCTGTACATGTTGTATATCACATTTTTAACCATCCAGAAAGTTGTTGTCTGTGGGAAATTTTTTTACGTACGACAACGTCTTTCTTTATTATACTGGGGGTCACATTAAGAAATCGAAAATGAGGCATTTAACGAAAATGGAGGCAGTTTTCAAACGCATATTTCTCAAAACCATGAATGGACAATGTGTCATGCAATAAATCAGTCGACGGAGAATTTATCCAGCAATTCTTTGGTGCATATTACTGCTTTTCTGCTCACTTCAAGGTTTATCTGCAATCTGAGTTCCAAAAGCCAATTTCTGTTTTCTGGAGCATCAAATCGACTTGCAGCCTCAAACAAAGTTGTTTATTATAGTTTTAAGTATAACACATTTTACTTTCATGCAAATCGGTTCTTTAAGAAAATAGTTAGAATGTTTTTAGTGGGTCATTATTTTCTCCCATACTAATTTGACGAAAATCCCGAACAAATCGTTAGCGCGACCTCTTAACGTTGACCAATTTAGCTGATTCTTTGCACAGATGTTTTTTTGTGTGTTATGAACTGAACTAGGGGGTGGCCTATCAAAAATATCAATCTTTTTCCAGAATGAAACAACCTAGTGGACACCTAACAGAGGGAGATGCAAATTAACGGAAATCTTCATCGATAGTCGAGCTGGTTGAAGCTATGAGCGGGAAATCGAGAAAATCCAAGATTTCAAAGTCTTCCCGGTGAAATGTGCGAATTTTAATTACATCATCACATCAAGAAAAATAAGATTTTGGACCTTTGGACTGGACTAAATTTTCGGGATACACTCACTGAAGAAATATAACGAGCACTTCCGAAGCAACTTTGAGCAGATTTTAGAATCAATTCTAGAGATGAACTTTAAGAGAGTTTTATCGAAAACTCCAAGTCAATTGTATAATTTCAGAGTATTTTTTCAAATAGCTTTATGGAAAAAATGTATGGCGATTGTGCAGAGGATTCCAGGATCGGTGAAAAATACCAAGGGAAACGATCTCACAGAGTACAATTCCAAAGAAATTACGAAGAGTTTAAAATAAATTTCTAGTATAATTTCAAGGGCATCTCGAAGAAATTTTCTAGATAATTTTAAGGGGAGTTTAGTGAATTTAAGAATAATTTAAAGGAGAACATATTTTAGAAGAATTCTGAAAAGAGTTCTGTAAAGCGATAGGAAATGCTTGAGAATAATCACATCAAATCCTGTTAAGTTTAGAGCGAATTTTCAAAGACAAATTTTTAAGACTTCGAACACCGAACTAAATTCAAGTCCTGCTGTCGTAGTCATGCTTAATTTACTTGTGTATCGCACAACCAGGAAAATTTCCAAACTTCTGGAGAAAAAACGGTAAATGCACCATTAAATCAAGGCTATTTTTCACACTAATGGCGCTGTTTCATTGATAGTAAGTAATTAAAATTCCCATATAAAAATTTGGAATAGTGGATTATAATATCTAATATTACTTTCACGCACAATAAGTGCCGCGTGTATGCATCACCATTATCAAATAAATATTCTGGCACGTTGATTTTCATATTTAATTTATAAAGAATAATTGGCCTGGTCTCACCATGCCATTGACTGCTTCTTTTGGAATTCCTTGTACTTTTTTCTCAAACGCTTCGTATTTCATTCCAAACTTCACCAGCAATTTCCTTCCGTGTATCATCCTTGGTCGGTTCTTATATGATTCCGCCTTTTCCGGGTTTTTTTTTTTCCCAAAGGGTTGGTCACTCCGAACAGTGTGCCAAAAATACAGATGAGCACACCTGGGCACTTTCATTGGCACCCATGGTTAGACATTTTTATGATAATTAAATCTACTGGCAATACTGTATCCAATTTGTTCTCTCTCATTCTTATGTTTGAAAAATAATTGGAATTTCCGTTGAAGTTCTGCCGTGGTGACTCACATATTTTCAAAACATTAGGAAGACCGAGGTCATCAAGAAGGCGATGACCGTTGCCAAGTACAACTGTAAACTGGAATTCTTCCGGATGGTGCTGGAGTAGCTATCGGAAGACTTCGAGATCGGAGAACCTCGAACTGTTCAAATATCTGGTGCGGAAGCCTTTGATGTTTCAGAACAGTTTGATCGAAGTTGGGAAGAGGGTGGCATTCAGATATCATGCCGATCAGAATGCCGATTCGGAATATGATTAGTGAGTTGGTTAGTGGGGAGAGCAAGACCCTGAAGGAGGAAGTGAAGGGAACGTCGAAGACGTTGGTAGATCGATTTAGGGCGGGGAGATTCGTGACGGAGCTGAAATCACAGCCGAAGGAGGTTATGTGGAATTGTAAGATGTTAATTGGTCAGTTGTTGGGCTTGAAGGTGAGCTCCTGAAAGTCACCATGGGTGAGCTGGTTGAAGGATAGGTTTTCAATCACGCTTACCACTACACCACCGGCGCCACTCTTCTTCCATTCCTTTATTTAACGTCGGTCTCGCCCCGTAACGTGGGTAGATCACCTTTTCGTGGTACGTTACGGGATGTAAGATCTACCACCGATTCCTAGTCCTGACTTCTTCAAACTAGGGGAACAGGTTTTTTTCAGTTATCAAAGGAACATATCTTAGTCCTTGTTACTTTTTATGCCTTGTTGATAGTGATAAGTCCTCGGGTTGCCTGGACCGAGGATGATCTTCAAACAAGGAAAAAAATAGTTAGTTTGTATTCACCTATGTATGTGATTCCTAATCTTCTATTCGTTGTTCCCTAGTTTGAAGTGGTTAAGACTAGGGTTCTGGGGTTGTTAAGGAATTCAATTTTGACTGACAAAGGGGCGCGCCTTTGGAGGGTGTTTCAACACTCCGAAGGGTATAAATAGCGGAACCTTTCAGTTAGAATCGATTCCGTGCGATGAAGGCAAGAATGACAACTGTATCAAAACCGAATACTTCATCATTTCTCAATAGTGATGGAGTAAAACGACTTGCACTAAACTAAGGACACGGGATATACTACAATAGATCAAATTACTGGTCGCAGTGGTGTTATGTCCCGAACAGAGGAAAAAAAAAAACGTCGGTCTCTGTTCCACAATCTACTGCCAATCACCGACGGACATTGATTGCCATCCATTGACGGAAATCGAATGTGCAGGAAGGCAGCTTCCACACCTGCGTAGTATATTGCACCCATTCAACACACATGGGCTGGTACTAACGGTTTTACTTTGCTTCCTAAGGAAGACGTGACCAGAGATTTGTATGCCTCAGAAGGGATAGGTTTCCACTGCTTGTTGTTTTGTTGCTTCAAAACAAAACATGTGAACTGTCAGATTAATCGGGTTACCAAACATACTGTTTGTGAAAACGTCTAGTACATATGCAACTACCCTACTAGCTCAAGAGGTACATCTATCCTCACACAGATATCGCTACAGTCGTATTCACAAGTGTCTCTTTCTGTTGTGTACTGTTTTGTATTGTATTTGACAAATAAAAAATATAGTTCGTATGCCTCCGCCATGGCAGGACGGCCAATCCAACGGTCGTGTTTTACTTTATACATTTCTCCGTAAACACAACGTAAATAGGGTCCAGGCCGTTCGCGGTCACATACCATGATACAAACAATAATGCGGATGAAACTCTGATTTTTTTTACTGACGGCACAGCTGCAGCACACGTGAGTCACACTATAAAAAAAAAGTTGGCGCAAAATACATGTGTAGAGTGACCACCCCTTTGGTTTTTCTTGTTTTCCGAGGGAGATAAATTCTCACTAGTTTCCGTTCCTGGTTCGATGTTGACTCCTTGCTCGCTGGTTGGTGTAGTCGATCTCAAGTCCACCATCTGTCACTGTATTGCCATGGTCATCTGCGATGAGGCTCGCGTCTTAAGTCGCTGGTCCACCGAAGACTATCCGTTTAACTTCAACCATTTTATAAGGTTCATTAATTGCTGTCAACAGTTAAATGGTGGTCCTGCTCTTCACACGGAATATTTTCACCGAACACATCACACTAAATTAATCCTTTATTTAAAACCCTACAGTAAAAGTATGGACGACTGTCACCACAAAACTGAAAAAGCTGTTCCAATCGAGCAAAGCGGTGCATTTGACGGTTCGATTGGAACAACTTTTGACAGACGTTCATACTTTTACTCTAGGGCTTTACCTTTATTTGGTTTGCTATGTAATCGAGGGGAAAGCGGCGCCGGTGGTGTAGTGGTAAGCGTGATTGCCTCTCACCCAGCAGGGAAGTAAAGTCGTTGGTCCTCGGTTCATGAGTTGATGATGGGTCGATAGGTAGGGTCCAGGTGTGGGAGCTGCCTTCCTGGCGTCGGTAGCATTGGTGCTCAGCACGGAAAACAAGATCGACGGATAACAAATCAAGGAAAATAAAATTGTAATCGAGGGGTGCGATACATCTAAATCTCGATTTTAAATGGTCGAAAAATCTCACACTAGCGAATCAATCTACGAAAAATCTTTTTTCATCTCTTGCAAACCCATCTACTCGCATTGTTCTCCACCTTTTTGCAGGAAATCTTCAAAATCACTATCAATCGTGTTTCTATCTATTAAGCGAAAATGCATCTCACAACAGCAAAGCAAAACATTTCCTGCATCTTATTTTGCATCCACTTTGTTTTATTTTGATAGATAAACAACTTTGTTGAAAACACCATTCATCGTAGACGCTTGATTCAAGACGCTTGATTGCGAACTAATTAAGTTATTAAGAAGAAGCGCCTAACTAATACAAGCAACTTTACAGAATCCAGCCATCTGATTGGAAGCTTCGTTCAAAAGTTATTAATTTTTTTCAAGTAATTCACTGATCTGCCCCAGTGGGTGCCATCAGGCCAACGGCATCTGGCCATAACTAACCGGCCGTAACAAACCGGCCGTCGCAATCCGGTCGTCAATCAAGACATCGCCAAATAAATGTAAGGTAAATTCTACTATTCTATTTGATAAGGATGTAGTATGCCATTCCCATCCGAACAATAAACAGCACACACATTCAATAATACTAAACAAACCATTCACCCCCAGGCAGCAAAGCCTATGCCCGGGTAAAAATAATGGAATGAAGGCTGACTAAAAGTAATTTGGTACGCCCCTCGCGCGCCACCAGCACAGCTCTAGTGTTGGGAATCGAACATCTTTGACAGTGGTTTGATTACACGGTAACTCGCAACAACTCAAAATTGAAGCAAACATGCTCATTTCAGTGGGAAGTATGGCTACTCAAAAGTGAGTAGGTGCGCTTTTACTCAATTTTGAGTAAACAACGTTCTCGCGCAGAGTGAGCCAAAACCACTCTGAGATATTTTCAGCCGGGAAGTTTTTTTTTTTTTTTTGTTCTGATGAAAAGTTGAAATTAGCTGCTCCAGAATTATTTAACTGGAGTTGAAGACGACTGAAAACCGTCTCAGCATGCAATTCCTGCTTACCTTAATGCATTTCGGCCTGTGTTATGCAATAATTTCGCCGTTTGCTAGAGCGTTTGCTCCGACACGGCTGACATTTTTTTCTAAGTCCCGGATTTGGCTGACTGAGTGGCTTTTACTCAGTTTGACATTTCTCGTTTACTCAGATTTTGACAACCTAATGCATCAGACTAAATTGAGCACGATTGACTCACCCGGTGAGTAAGCTGAAGTAAGCGTGTACACTTCTATAGAGAACAACTGGCGCAAGTTTGATCAAAGTAGTCGATCGCGTTCAGAAGTAACGTCAAATGGAACTCGAAAGAAGAAAAAATATTGTGCACAAACACCTGGAAAACCCGGAGTGGTCCGGTTCTAAGCTGGCCAAAGTGCAGAAGATGCCGAAAACAACAGTTTCGAGTACAAGGAAACCCTGAGTGTGGAAAAGAATCAGCGGACCTACGAAAAAACTGGAACCAGGGATCGCCAGCTGCGCAGCAAGGTGTTGAGGTGCGTTTAGCCAACCCCGGTATTTCGATCCGAGATGTGGAAAGAAGGTACAACGCCAACTTTCAAAAGGTGTGGAACATCCGGATAGAAGTCGTACAAAGCCAGTAAACATCCGAACCGGCACATGAAGCAGAATTCCGTGGTCAAAAAGCGTGCAAGGCTTTTTTGCGACCGTGTTTTGACTAAACACAAGGGTTGCACTTTGATCGATGACGAAACATACGTCAAACTCGATTTCACGCAGCTTCCCGGTCAAAAGTTTTACATCGCGACTGAACGTGGGGATTGAAGTCGCTATATGCATAGTCTGGCGGATAGAATTTCGATAGATCAAAATGCGGAACCAAAGCAATATATTGTAGGCCAGCAATTGAAAAGGTACTATCAACTTATATAAACAAAATTGTTGATCATTCTTTCCTCGCCAAGCGAAGGTAAATTACCAGCATCATCGGATAGGGGAAACTTTCCACAACCTAAAGATGGTGTTAGTTTGTGTAGGCGAGCCTTTAGTCAGGAGAAAAAGGTTTCCAAAGTTTTGTTCGCAATAGCTGATGTGCTCTTTTCTGTTGTTGGTCGTTGCTCGATTGGTTCCGCTATTTGACAGCTCAATTGGTTCCCGAGATTCTATCCGCCAGACTATGAATATAGCGACTATAGTCGGAAGATTCAAGTTCGTGTTTGCCGACAAGATCGCGAAGAAGGCCCTGATTTGGCAAGTGATTTACAGTTGTGGCCTGAAAACGGAACCATTCGTCACATCCTCGACGATGTCATCCCATGTTTACATCGAAGAATGCCTGAAAAAGCGTGTATTGCCGTTCATCCGCAAGCATAGGGGTAAAGTCATATGTTGGCCCGATTTGGCCAGCTGCCACTACTCCAAGGTGGTTCTGGAGTGGTATGCTGCCAACAAGATCGATTTTGTCCCCAAGCTAATGAATCCTCCGAATTGCCCGGAATTTCGACCAATCGAAAATACTGGGCAATTTTAAAACAGCGACTTCCACGAAGCGGCGGGGAAGTCAAGGAAATGGAAGAAATGCGCTGATTCCGTGTCCGTTTACACTGTGCTCCATCGAGAAGAAGGTTTGAAATTTCGTTCGAACTGGAGAAATGTAACCATGTAAGATGTAATGGTGTAGTTTTGAAGTTTTAATAAAAGTACTGTAAAGCAACCATTAATGGACTTTCTCAATTTATTGAATCACGAATTACAGGTCTTTTTGTGCGTATCAATTTACTTTTAATCAGGCTTTATGCAACTCTAATCGAGTTATATGTGTAGCCACTCTGTACTGGACTTGCAGCGCTCTCTCGTCTTCTTTCCACCCTTCTTGTGTGGCACGAGGTCGTTCGCCTAGCAAGAAAGGTTTCGAATGACATCGACTGGCGCTCAACCAAAGTACATGGAACATTGTCAATAATGCTAGGAGGAGCATTTTTTTCACTCCAGTCATCTCACTCCTTTAGCAAGTATGAGGTATTGACCATGGATATGTATAAAAGGAAAAGTATTGCCTAATAAAGCAAGATTCTTATTCCAAAGCTCGACCCTGCTGGGATTTACCCATGCATCGGCTCTTTGAAATCAAGTTCAAATCTTTCTCTGTGACAATGCTGGATTTCTCCAATCAGGCTTCTCATCGAGTGAAGAAAGTCCTAAATTCATACGCGTGCGAACTCTTCACAACGCACATAAAATATTTGCATGAAAGTTATGCCAGAAGGACTTCCCCGCAATCTGAAAGCTTCCCCACGCAAAAACCCACTGGGACCCAGAACCAAAAGAGGCCTTGAGTGCCCACCACAGGAGCTGCTGTTGGCTTAAGACCATCAGCACAGAACAGAAGGGGAAGTGCAAACAAATCGGTGAATCAAAAAGTGCTCGTTTTTCTACTCAACGAGTGATGTGATGTGGTAGCGTTCCACATGGGCTTTCTATGTGCACTCACACTATCATAGCATGCTGCCTATCTTAACTGCAGGCCGAAGATGCCTTCTACCGCTAGGTGCGCTAGTGTTCGCAAATGACCAGTGGAGCCACTTTCTGATTCGAAGTTCCACTCCTGTGCCATCAGCTTCGGGCTTAGGCGGATAGGTTCCCTTCTGGGACTAAGCTGTTCCGGGGTCATAAGTTGTTTCGATGCATTGGTTGGCATAGAAAGCTCTCAACTGAATAATAACTGCGGAAGTGATTCAAATAACACTAAGTTGGGATTAGGTACAATCTCGTGTAACAGCGTCAACGCCAGGAAGAAAAAAAAAGAAACAGTATTGACACCATCCAAAATTTGAACATCGACTTCGAATCGATGTCATAATCAAATATCATATCGCTCATTCTGAAACCGTTTCCATTTCATCTCTGCAGTTGCATCAGCAGCATCAAAACGACATTTCCCAATTCAGACGATCGTTAAACTACTAGTCATCACAAAAGTAAACTCTATGAGCATATCGACCACTCCGTTGCTAATGTGCACAGGATGGCTACGCGTTGCATCGTTGACCCCTCGTTCTACACAGGAACACAAATTGTACCCGCTATTTCGAGCCATGAACCAACTGAACCATGGCTACCGAACGGAAATTCGATGTGCATTCCAACAATAAATAGTAACTGTTATTCGAAAGCTGATGATGCCCGTTCCCCGAACTTTGGAACTTTCTGCAAAACACTCACGGAAAAGTACACCCCTAGTAGCCCCGTCGTCGTCCACTTTGATTTTATGACCCTGGCATTAAAGTTTTATCGCTTCGATTCACCAGCACTTTTGGGTACCCACCTACCCACCTTCATACCTACCTGCCTTATACGATGGGTGGGAGTTGCCGCTTGCCAGGCAAAGGTCGATCACATATGTATGCAGTTATAACTTCCGATTTGGAATTTTCGATCCTGGTTAGCATCATCACCGTCGGACGACGGTGGGAAGGTCGGAACGACGAGCGGCTACAAATCTGTTTTACGAATTGTTCGATTTCCTATTGAAATGGAGGTGTGCGGTATCAATATAAGGGATGGAGCAGGGAGCACGTGTCGATTGCTGTAGAATCGAGTTGACCTCGTTAGGTAGACTTTTGGCAAGCAATGTGATTTTGGATTTCAGTGTCATTAGTGTTTGATACATGAGTGTTACTGTTGGGGGACTTTTGATTGAATGTGTTTTCTATGAGTCTACCGTACCGTTACGGGAAAAGGAAAATGAGAAACTTTCACCACAACTTATGAAAATCTCCCTCGGGGGAATGGTGTCTCATCCACATAAGTCCGATTTCCTAATTTATTCCGGAACCCCAATTTACCTTTTTCCCAATGTCTCAATAGGGCTATAATGTTTTCGATTTTGCTTCAATTACTATGCAGTAGGGATCGTTCCGATTTACATCGGACTATTTATGGTGAAAACGTATTGCTCTCTTGAAATAGAAAGCGAAATAAAGCTCTTGTTGTGTTCCAACAATCCCTACCAACAAGCCCGGCAGTAGCACTGTAGCAGAAGATTGGACAATTGAAGGATGTTTGTTTTTCCTGATCTCTCAAACAAAACCGACTCGTATGTGCTTCTTGTTGTGCCAGTTAGGCAGGGTACACTTATTTGCACAACTATACACGCACTACGGAAAATAGAAAGACACACACACATACATCTCCGCATGTACGACGCTCATGAAAATCGAAATGATACACCAAAAAGAAGCTTTCGTCCTTACACACGTCCTTTTAGTATATCGAATTGATGCCGCTGTTAGGGATGTCGTTTTTAGCTATTAATCGATTATTGGTTAATCGAGTACTTATTCGTTCTAACCGATTTGGCATCGACTTAGAATCGAACTTAAGCAATTATTTGCAATAATTGATTTCAACTTCTGACTTACCTTAAATGTTTAGCATAGGTGTTTATCATCAGGAACACAATATGTATAAACAGTACTTTCCCGTTTTTGTCAGCCCTATCTGAAATTTTAGACTGACAAAAACGGGAAATTTTCTTTTTCAATATTTTAACCATCCAAATGATTTTGAAATCAAGTTTAATCACTAACTATCCACTATTATTGGCATTATTGAAAAATGTTTACTATTCTTACAACAAAGGGTACACCAAACTTTAAACCGGTTTGTTGAGCCGGTACGTAAGGTTTTACTGGGTTTTTGAATTGCGGAACTGTTCGGTAAAAGTTTAAAAATCTGTGTAAATTCAAACATTAGAAAATTTATTCCAAACCTGTTCAGGCTTAGTTATGTTAACCCCATGATTCGTTACGGATAACGGTCATTTGAATTTTTACCGACTTTTTCAGCAATTCAAAAACCAAGTAGAGCAAATAGGTTTATTTTTGATTTTTTTTATTTGGTTGATAATTTGCAGAAACGTTCCTTATGACCGACAATGCCATTTTGCATCTTCATATCGCCATGTTGAATCCAGCCTTGTATTTGAAAATGGCATATAGAAAAATATCAAGCTTATCTTCAGAAAAATTTTACTCGAAAACTGTTTGCCCGATCGGTTTGGTGTCTTCGGAATTCTACATACACATCGTACATTGGTTCACATAACGTTGCGAATAGCCCAACACTACTACGTAGCTCTGTTAAAGTTAGTGCTAAAGTATATGGCCTGCAGAAGCTAGGTCTATTTGGATACTACATTGCGCTTTTATTCTCTTTGACCAATACTATGCGAGTGATTGGAACTGCAACCCTGACCTTAAATGGGTTTGGAGTGACTGTTTGGGTTGGAGTGACTGTTCTGTCAGGTCAGTCTTACTTAGTATATGTCCAGCCGTAGCTAGACATTCTTTTTGGTACTACACCTGAACCTTTCTTTATTGGTGAATACTTGGACTGCGAGAATCAATCATCATGCTTGGTCCTGGAAATAAAAAAACACCAACCCTACGAGCTGTGCAACTGAAACTCAAGAAAATGCAATCGATGTTCGGAGATATTCGTCATTTTGTCAACAACTTCAAAGATAATACTAGCGCAGGTCAGATTCAGGTTAGGGTGATCAAGTTAGATGAGCTTTGGGAAAATTTTTGTGAAGCTTTGGTAGAAATCAAATCCCATGAAGAGTATGTTGCAGATGAGGACAAATACGCTAAGGAGAGACAGCAGTTCAGTAATCAATACTACGATGTGAAGGCCTTTTTGTTAGAAAAGATAGAGCTTCTACAACAACCATCTGCAGGGAAAACTTCAATCCATAATGTTTCCGTGCAAACTGCGTCAGATCACGTTAGATTACCTCAAATCAAACTTCAGTCATTCAGACATTGAAGAATGGCTTGGTTTTCGTGATTTATTTAAATCGCTCATCCACTCTCGGACGGATTTACCGGATGTAGAAAAGATGCATTATTTGAAGGGATGCTTGCAAGGTGAACGAAAGGGTCTTATCGATCCACTTCCAATAACCGGAGCCGATTATCACGTTGCTTGGAACATAATCATGAAGCGCTATGACGATAGCAAACAACTCAGGAAGATGCAAATCCAATATCTCTTTAGTCTACCATCCGTTTTGGAATTGCAAGCTTTAGTCGAGGGATTTGAGAGGACTGTACAGATATTTGATCAGATAGTTAAGGCCAAGGACTATAAGGATCTGCTTTTGGTTAATATGCTGTCTTGTCGACTAGATCCACCCAATCGACGATCATCGGATCCAAGGAAAAGGATTCGTTGTAGGAAATGTTGGAATTCTTACAAAGACGTATTTAAGTGTTGGAATCTTTACCAATCAAGCCGGTTAAATCCAGGATTGTACAGTCATCCGCACCAAGACAAAGGAGTCAAACGATCAAGGCGAGCTACAATTCTACAGAATCATTTACCTCTAGTTGTGTCTGTTGTTCAAAAAATCATTATCTATACACCTGTCCTGTTTTCCAAAGGTTGCCTGTAAGAGATCATGAGGCTGTTCTGCGGAAACACTTACTTTGCCGAAACTGTTTTAGAGCAGGACATCAAGGAAAGGACTGTCGGTCGAAGTACTCTTGTCAAAATTGTAGGGGGCGACACCACACACTGGTTTGTTTCAAATCTAATCTGGACGATACTTCGACTTTAAGGAACAATACATCTTATACTTCTCCGCAAGACGCTGATGCTTCTACTTCTTCAATGGATGCAGTTGCGAACATAGCAACTTCGGGAACACTATAGGAAGTGTCTACTTGCAACACAGTGAGCAGAACAACGTCGAAAGTGTTTGTGGCTACTGCGGTTATTCTAGTTGAGGATAGCGAGGGCAACAAATATCCAGTACGTACCCTCCCAGATTCAGGTTCCGAATGTAACTTCATTTCGGAAAGGTTCAGTCAACTTTTAAAGGTGGTTCGGACTAAGATTGACATCAAGGTACAAGGAATCGGACAAACATAAACACTGGTGAAGCATCAAATTCAGATCAAGGTTCGATCAAGGATTTCGCAATTTGCTTGGTTAGTGAATTTCTTGGTTTTATCAAGGGTAACGGTAAACCTTCCTACTACAACGGTGGACGCATAAGGATGGTCGATTCCCTAAGGCATTAACCTTGCGGATACAGATTTTTTTAAATCAACTGGAGTAGATATGGTACTAGGTATTGAGCTATTCTTCAGTTTGTTCGTCATGGAACACAAAATATCACTCGGGGATAACATGCCCATGTTGATCGATTCGGTGTTTGGCTGAGATGTATGTGGTACCTTGGCATTACCTAAGGCGATAACTCAGGTCAACTGCAATCTGTCAGTCTCGAATCGACTTGAGGATCTTCTTAATCGTTTCTGGGAATGCGAAGAAGTCGGAGAACAAGGCAATTCGTCACCCGATGAAGCATTTTGTGAGGAACAATATCAACGCACAGTTCAGAGAGCAGATGATGGAAGATATATAGTCACTCTCCCTAGAAAGGAAGTTATGCTGAAGCATATGGGTGAATCGAGGGATATAGCTCTGCGGCGCTTCTACAGCACGAAACGCAGGTTGGCGAAGGATAGCAACTTACGTCACCAGTACGTGGCTTTCATGCAGGAGTATCAACAATTAGAACATATGAAGGAGGTTCAGGAAATTACAGGCATCGATATCAGCCATCATTTGGTGAAGGAATCGTCTACGACAGCCAAGGTGCGAGTCGTATTCGATGCGTCCTGTAAAACATCGACCGGAACATCATTGAATGATGTCCTCTACGCAGGACCGGTGATTCAGGAGGATTTGCGAGCGATTAGCATCCGTGGACGAACTAGACAGACCATGGTTGTTGCTGATGTGGAAAAAATGTTCCGGCAAATTTGGCCTTGCTTTACGGATCTTCGATTCTTAAGTAATTTTGGCGTCACCCATGGATGAGAGCAAAACCTACGATTGATCTCTGTCCCATATTTTTTCTCGTAGATCAGAACCTGGTTCTGGAAGTAGCGTCGGACTCCCAGCTGAAGTTGTTGAACAAATTCTTGACGTCGATCGTTATCACGGCGTAATATCAATCTCCTCTCCTCTTCTGTTTCTATGCCTTCTCGACTCGCTCGACAACGGTCCGAATTGCATCCACATTTACTCTTCCTTTTCGAAATCCGAACTGCCTCTCCGACAATCCTTGCTCACTCTCCGTGCATTTCGTCAGCCTGTTTAGGATGATACTCTCCAAGAGTTTTCCGAGTGTATCCAGCCGGCACTGCTACGAGTTCCTCGTTGGTGACTTCGTCATTATCTCCCCCTCCGTCTCCGTACGATGCAGGTGGCCAGGTCGATGGATCGTGCTTTGAAAAAAGTCCTTCCACGATGACTTTCAGGTT